GTGGGGTCGGATTGCAGATGGCGGAAGTGTCGGAGGATGATGCGTTGGATCCGGAGGTTGGTGGGGTGGTACGTGAGGGATTCTGTTTTGGTTGTTATTGCGGGGAAAGGGTGGGAGGGATGAGTTGCAGGAAATGTGGGAGACACGGTTGAGGGCGTTCTCGACCACTGAGGGGGGTGGGAAGTTGTGGTCCTTGAAAAACGAGGACATCTGAGATGTTCGGGAGTGGAATGCCTCATCCTGGGAGCAGGTGCGGTGGAGGCGAAGGAATTGGGAACAGGGGATGGCATTTTTGCAGGAAGGTGGGTGGGAGGAGGTGTATTCTAGGTAGCTGTGGGAGTCAGTGGGCTTGAAATGGATATCAGTTTCCAGGTGGTTGCCAGAGATGGAGACAGAGAGGTCCAGGAAGAAGAGAGAGGTATTAGAGATGGTCCAGTTGAACTTAAGGTTGGGGTGGAAGGTATTGGTGAAGTGGATGAACTGTTCAAGCTCCTCGTGGGAGCACGAGGCGGCGCCGATACAGTCATCAATGTAACGGAGGAAGAGGTGGGGTTTAGGGCCAGTGTAGGTACGGAAGAGGGATTGTTCCACGTAACCTACAAAGAGGCAGGCATAGCTTGAGCCCATGCGGGTACCCATGGCCATCACCTCTGTCTGTAGGAAGTGGGAGGATTTGAAAGAGTTGTTGAGGGTGAGGACGAGTTCGGCTAAGCCGATGAGGGTGTCTGTGGAGGGCACTGGCACCAGTACTAGAGGAAAAAGGTGCTGCTCTGCTGGGATGGGCTTCCCTCAAACTATGCCAGGACTAATATCCTGGTGAATGAAATACCTGGGGCTCCAGACAGGGCTTTAATCTAATGGAGGGGGAGGTGAGAAAGAGGATTGTAAGGAGGGATACATTGGCTTATAAAGCAAAAGAATATAGCAGTGATGCAGGACTGTTATTTAGATAATGATACCCAGAGTGGGGCAAGAAGGCTATGATGCAAACATTAAAAAGCAGCATACAGGATCAAAGAGAGATAGAAAAATGACTCTTGAATGCATGTAGTATTTGGAACAAAATAAACTGATTAACTGTACAAATGGAGGTTAACCAGTATAATCTTATAGCCATTTGGACACATGGATACAAGTAAATAAAAGCAGGAACTAAATACTTGGGAGTATGTGATGTTTCAAAAGGCAGGCCACACTTAGAACATTATTTTGGTCTCTTTATTTAAGGAAAGATATAGTAGCATTTGAAGCAGTCAAAAGAAGGTCCACTGGGCTCATACCAGGTATGGAGGCATTTTCTTATGAGGAGAAATTGAATAGGCTGAGCCTATACCTATTGGAATTTAGAAGAATGGGAGGCTACTTATGGAAACAGACATGATTCTTAGGGGCCCTGAGAAGGCACATATGGAGCTACTGTTTTCCCTTCTAGGAGAGTCTAGGAAGACGGCGGCATAATCTCAGAGTAAGGCATCACTCATTTAAGACACAGATGAGGATGAATTATTTTTCGCTCAGAGGGTAGTGAACCCTGTGGAATTCTTCACTATGGAGACTGTGATTCAGAATATTCAAGGTTGAGATAGAGATTTTTAATCAGTATGGGAATCAAGGGTATAAAAGCAGGTAAGTAGAGTTGAATATTATCCAATCAGCCATGATCTCATTGAATGATGGAGAAGACACAACAGGTGAAACTACCTACTTTCTGCTCCTATATCCTATGGTCTTATGGATGACATCAAGATAACCTGATCCATGTAAATCCAAATTTACACGGTATTCTGTGATGGAATCCATGGTTTTGAAGCTTGTATTTTTGAGACTGGATTAATTTAAAAAACAAACCTGAGAAATGAAACTGAGTTCTGAAGAAAAGCAATACTGAAACAAGATTGGAAACCAAAGCTAAAATTGGTTGCAAGTACAAAAACACAACCGGGTCTGAGGTAATGACAGCAGTAGTGCAGTACATGCAGGCTGCAGAAGATGGAAGTCAGAACTAGAAGTTCAGAATAGGCTACCATACAGTGCTGCAGCTATTTTTGTTTCTTGAAGATAGCATTGGTAGTTGTATGCCATCCAGACATTTTATAACAGAATTGAGGAGGTGTTAAAGACCAATGCCTAATTTGGTGAAGACTTGGAGAACTTCCACGGAACATGGTTACTGTTGGCTGAAGATCAGGCTAAATCCATCAGGCGCTATGCGTAAAGCTCTGTGCCACAATGGCATATGAGCTCCATCGTTTTCAGTCCACGACTTTACACTGTCTCAGGAAACTCTATTTTATGGGTACACACTTGCAGTTACTTGTCAAGGTAGAACCTCCTTCTTCGTAGCTAAGTATTCCGTTTATAATGACTGCGTGTGCTCTCAATACTCCTTGGGGGACTGCATAAAACTGCTTCTCTCACCTCTTCCTGCCTACTCAGGACTTACTCTTCACCCAGTTTCTTCCTAATCTCATGCTAAGGTCCATAAGTTTAAGGGTATCTGCTGTTGGGGGTGCACTTGTAAGAAATGACTGTGCTCTGCTATCTGTTTCATAAGTGCCCTGATGCCATTCCAGAACCCTGGCAAGCCCCTTTCACATCAGTACCTGTGGGAGACACAAGACAAAAATATGAGAACAAATCTTTTAAATACCCACAATCAAACACCAGCCTGGCTCTGCAAAGATCATAATTCTAAAATATTTCCTCCCTGTTCCACTTCCATCAACCTTCCTGGCAGGAGTAAAAATCAAAGAGTCCTAACTGACCTCGCAGGGTGAATCATGCCACAGGTGTTTGCTGATTTCTTTTGATACATTGAAAAATCATCGAGAGAAACAAAATATGCTTCTCAATTACGGAAAACAATGTTATAAATACCCAGTAGGTCTGGCAGCATATGTAAAGATAGTAACAGAGCTGTCATCAGGAGCAAGAGCAACAATTTCAGGAATGCTAAATATCTTGGGGGATTTCTGCAATGTTGGGTGAACGTGAAATATGAAGGATTAAATTTTATTTGGAATCCATATGGAGTAAGTCAGACCGGGAGATAGTTGCAGAAGGAGAAACTGCTGTGCAAGTTAATTTTCGTAGAAAACTGATCAAATATACGGGAAACAGAAACTAATAAAGATGAACAAGACAGAAGAGGTAAACAGAAATCCCAACTGAGAGAAGAGCAGAACATCTTCAAGGTGGGTGTTGCTGGAATAGAAGTGACAATAAATTAAACACTAATAAAAGAGTGAAGATCTATAGGAAAATTTTACAGATATATAATCCTGAAAGGGAAGCAGAGTACTAAGGTTTAGGAAAGAGCTGCTGGATAGGGCAAACAGGTTAACTATGAGTGCTACATAGTTATGTTGGAGCATGCATTGTGAAAATTTATAACAGACCCAATTTAAATATCTTCAAGACCTCATTCCTCCATTCTCTCTAACTTCCTCTAGCCCTACAACCTCCTGCAGAACCCATGGGTTCATCTGATTGGCCTTTGTGTTTGCAGCATTCTCCAGTTCACTTCTTCATTTGCAGCTGGATTTACGAACAATTTCCTTCAATCCCTCAACTCCTTTCAAACTAAGTGACTCACCCTAACATCTACCTCTTTAGTAAACCTTTTGATCACCCCTTCTATAACCTGCTTTGCTTGAAATTCCTATTTGCCTTTTGAAGCACTTTGGGATGTTGTTCTGTGTTATTGATGATTTATAAATGCAAGCTTGGCAAAACTGAAGCAAAACACATTTTGCATCAAAATGAGCCATGCAGTTTTCAGATAACTTTAAAAGCTTCCAGTACCATAGATGTTGTTGAAATTGAGCATTTTAATGCACTTCCCAAGACAGAAAGGCCAACAAATGCTTCACTTTATTTGAAGAAAATTGGGTCATTCTGAAACAATGTAGTAGCTTTCATGAAGAATTGATATGTGAAAAAAACTTCATTTTAAGTAGAAGTGAAGTATTTGAGATAAATCTTTCAAAGGTAAACAATCAAGAATCAAAGTTCATAAATCCACCTACAACGTTGTAATTGACATACAGAGACCACTTATACCCCTAACATAGTATGAGGCAACCTCCAATTGAATCTATCGAGGACACTGTCCAGATTTTAAGCGAGAAGTAAAGCATTCAGGATTCTGCAGCACAGATTTAGCTTACCCACGTCTCCAACGCCGTTAATAGCAATTAATGTATTTTTCCGAATTATGCATTTAAATCCAGTTCTTCACTAAATCACTGATTTTTCGGAGTACCAACAAGTGATCAAAGCATCAGTTTAACATGTTCAATTAATCATCCAAATCATTCACCTAATTTATGTTTTCAGACGGTTTATATATAAATGTTGGCAGAGATTTTGGTACCTTATGTATAATGGAAACTTCGTTACTTTCGGGAAAATCACATATTTTGGAATGAAATGAAAAACGATGGAAATCACGTAGCGGGTCACTTCAGTAAAGTTTTCCTTTAACCACAAATGCTGACTTTTCTTTTCACCTTTACAGATTTCCAACATCTACAGCATTCCTTTTCGTTTTGTTCGCCCCGAAAAGAACCAAATGATCCATTCTGGATAAACTTCACGGATAATTTATCTGAGCTAACAAGTGCTTCTCGGGGCACGAGCGGATTCCACACAGGCATATACTCCGTCCAGGATTTTTACCGATTTCACCGAATATGTAAAGCCGAGGCCTTGCGCCATCCTCCAACTCCCGAGCGGGAAAGATCCCAAGTAGGCCAGCCCGCTCGCCCTCCCTCGTGGCTTCAGCCTCGGGGACAGACATGAATTTCTCACGCCCTCACACACATTTCACAATGACTTAACCACGAGCTACGGTTCTACATCAATTATATCCGCAACGATTGTATGGTTAAAGGTATTTTCTTAAACGGTGGCATCCTTGTTGGGTTGCCCGATTCTCACTGTCCCAGAGCACCCGCACAGAACATGGCCGTCGCCCTGCTTCCCTCCAACAAGCTCACCTCAGGTACCCTACCCAAGCCAAACGATTGAACCACCGACATCCAGGCAGCCTTGGAAACGGTGGGGTTTTAGCCGCGACGGTATTCCTACACCGCCACCGTCGCTCGCACTCAACCGTCGGCCAAGGTGCGGCCGCCCCGCAACTGCCACGATCGTGCCTCGCCGCCGCCGCCCACGACGACGAGGTCGCGCTCTACGAGGGCACACCATGCAGCCGGTGACGTTGTGGATCGCCGGGGGCGCGTCCAATGACATCAGAGCGTATCCGGGAGCGCGCTCCGCCGCGCAGGGAGGACGCGGCCGAAGCGCCTCTTTGGCGCCCCGGAACCCGCTGGCCAATGAGGTCCCAGGGTTCTGGGGCACGTGGCCCAGCGTGACGTCACGTACAAGGTGATTTTTTTCCGTGCGGCCGTTGCCCGAGTGGGCGGGGCCCAAGGAATGGCGGCAGTGCGAGGGAAACGTTTCTGGCACGAGGCGAGCACATCGCTGAACCTGCGGCCGTTCACTTCGATACCGCTGAGTGAAACAGCCGTCTTCTTCGAGCCTCACAGTAAATATTTACGTATTTATTCTTTATACTTAACTGATTCAAGAGCTGCTGAATCTTTTTAAAAATATTTTCATGCTGTGAGATAGTCAGAAAAGACAATCGATCAGCACTAGAAAACTTAAACTTAGGGTATGGTCCTTCCTGGTGGCGGTCCCGCGGTAATTCTTTCAAAGTAATCATATACTGTTCATCAGCAAACCCTGGTTTACCGTCCATATCCTCAGTTCATACCAGTGTGTTGGGGGCTAATATTAAGTCATAGAGTTGTACAGCACGGAAACAGACCCTTGGGTCCAACTTGTCCATGTTGACCAGATATCCTAAATTAATCTAATCCCATTTGGTCCTTATTTCTCTAACCCTTCCTATTTATATACCCATCCAGATGTCTTTTAAATGTAATTGTAGCAGCGTCCACCACTTCCTCTGGGAGCTGATTCCGTACACGCAACTACCCTCTACATGAAAATTTTATCCCTTCGGTCCCTTTTATATATTTCCTCTCTCACCTTAAACATTTGCTCTGTAATTCTAGACTCCCCCACCCCAGGGAAAAGACCTCGACTATTCACTCTATCCATGCCCCTCGTGATTTTATAAACCTCTATAAGGTCACTCCTCAGCCTATCATGCTCCAGGGAAAATAGCCCCAGACTAGTCAGCCTCTCCCTTTAGCTCAAACTGTCCAACCCTGGCAACATCTTTGTAAATCTTTTCTGAACCCTTTCAAGTTTCACAACATCTTTCCTATAGCAGGGAGACCAGAACTGCATGCAGTATTCCAAAAGTGGCCTAACCAATGTCCTGTACAGCAGCAACATGACTTGCCTTGCAGTGAGTTAGCTTGCTGTTATTCGAATGTGCTTTTTTCACATTGATTATTTTAACCAGGTAAAGCGCAAGAAGTTTTGTTTTGCCACCCTTTGAATCTTAAAATCAAAGGAGGTCTTTAGACCAACATGTCGTGTGAACATACTAGATGATTAGTGTCACAACCTTCTCTTTCCCCAATGTTCTCTACATAGTTTTTAACAAATATTTATCTAATTCTCTTTTTAAACAATGTTGAATCAGCTCCCAGTAAGTTTATAATATGTTCCTGATCATAACAAGTCGCTGTGTAAAAACAGCCTTTCCGCTCTGAACTCTTTTTCTCATGAGTGGAGTTCATTTCTCCTTATTTGCAATAACAAATTCCTTCGTAATTTTGGCACCTCTGTTTCAATTCACTGTAACATTCTCTGCTCCAAGGGGCACAACAGTCATAGTTTCTCCAGTCTAGCTATGAACAGATTCTTCCCGGGCACTGAACAACCTTAGCATTAGTGAGAAAGTTGGGGAAATTGCAAGAGATGGTTAATGAAGAACCTCCTGATGTTGAGAGCAAAAGGTCCCATTTTCCAACCAAATTTTGAATGGTGTGTTAAGTGAGTGGCAAGAGATGTATTGAATGCATTCAATCTCATTAGCTGATCTCACCTCATCGATGTGCAGTTTCTATTTCACCCAACCGTCTAGAAAATAGTCAGCAACAATTCTCAGCATGGAAGTCAGAATGGTTACCTAGTGATTCCATCTCACCGCTTGATCCACCAGACCTCCATCTTGGACACCAGTCACCGACATGTCAGAGCACACTCAGTGACAGTGACTGCAGTTTTGTTCATGGATCTGAGAAAATGCTTCAGGGGGACTTGTATGTATGCCTTCTCAGATTCCTGTTGGCACTGCCCTGTTTCCTTGTGAGGAAGTAGTACCTGGAGTGAGGTGCCCCTGCCACCTTGCTGCTGGTACTGAGAACCACTGGTGGAGTGATGGAATGCAGGTCAATGCATTTACCTAGGAGACACTGAGAATGCAGGACCTGGTTCTCCCTGGCATCTGGGAACCTGTCCATGGAAGCATCGAGATACTCACACGCCAGAGGCAGCATGTTGCAAACAGCTTTGGTGCAGTCTTGCAACCTTTGAGTCAGTTTGCTTAGTGTTTCCAACAAACGTACCTGCTGCTCTTGTCTTTTTTTATTCACTCGTGGGACATTGGAATTGTGGGCTGACCAGCATTTGTTGCCCATCTTTAGTTGTCCTAGAGAAGGTGGTGGTGAACTTTCTTGAACTACTGCAGTTCACATACTGAAGGTTGACCCACGATGCTGTTAGGGATAGAATTCCAGAATTTTGACCTAGCATCAGTGAAAGAACTGTGATACATTTTCAAGTAAGGATCGTGAGTAGCTTGGAGGGGAATGTGCAGGTGGTGGTATTCCCATGTATCTGCTGCCTTTGCCCTTCCAAATGGAAGTGATCGTGGGTTTGGAAGATACTGTCTAAGGATTTTTGGTGAATTTCTGCAGTGCATCTTCTGCTACTGAGCATTGGTGGTAGAGGGAATGGATGTTTGTGGATGTGGTGCCAATTAGGTAGGCTGTTTTTCCTGGCTTGTGTCAAGCTTCTTGAGTGTTGTTGGAGCTGCATCCAGGCAAATGAGGAGCATTCCATCACACTCTTGATTTGTGCCTTGTAGAGTTTGGGGCTTTGGGGAGTTAAGAGGTGAGTTAATCGCTCCAGCATTCTTAGCCTGTGACCTGCTCTGGTAGACACTGTGTTTATGTGGCAAGCCCCGTTGAGTTTCTGGTCAATAGTAACTTCAAGGATCTTGAATGTCAACGGACGGTTATTAGGTTGTCTATTATTGGAGATGGTCATTGCCTGGCATTTTTGTGGTGCAAATGTTACTTGCCACTTGTCAGCCGAAGCTTGGATATTGCGCAGATCTTGTTGCATTTGAACATGGACTGCCTCAGTATCTGAGGAGTCACAAACGGTGCTGAACATTATGCAATTATCAGCAAACATCCCCACTTCTGACCTTATGATGGAGGGAAGGTCATCGATGAAACAGCTGAAGGTGGTTGGGCCGAGGACACTACTCAGAGGAACTCCTGCAGAGTTGTCCTGGAGTTGAGATGACTGACGCCCAACAACCGCAACCGTCTTCTTATGTGCCAGAAATGACTCCAGCCAGCAGAGAGTTTGCCCCGATCCCCATTGATTCCAGTTTTGCTAGGGCTCCTTGATACTTGATACTTGGTCAAATGCAGCCTGATGTCAAGGGCTGTTGTCACTCTCACTTCACCTCTGGAATTCACCTGTTTTGTCCATGTTTGAATCAAGGATGTAATGAGGTCAGGAGCTGAGTGACCGTGGCAGAACCCAAACTGGGTATCATAGAGCAGATAAAAACCGAAAGAACTGTGGATGCTGTAAATCAGAGACAAAAATAGAAATTGTTGGAAAAGTTCAGCAGGTCTGGTAGCACCTGTGGAGAGAAATCAGGGTTAATGTTTCAGATCGAGTGACCATTCCTCAGAACTCTGGCGTTTTTTGAAATGGAACCTGAGATGTCGAAGAAGGGAAGAGTGGAGTCAGAGATGGACCAGGTGAAGGTGAAACCGGCATGCAAAATTTGAAGCGAAATTAATAAATGTTTCCAATTCTGGACAAGAGAGGGAGACAGCACCAATGATATCATCGATATACTGGAATAAGAGTTGTTGGTGGGGGCCGCATTAGGACTGGAACAAGGAATGTTCCATGTACCCCACAAAGAGACAGGCATAATGGGGGCCCATGCGTGGAACCATGGCCACCCCTCTGACCTAAAGAAAATAAGAGGAGTTAAAAGCAAAGTTGTTCAGGGCGAGGACGCATTCGGCCAGGTAGAGGAGGACAGTGGTGGATGGTGATGGTTCAGGCCTTTGTTCCAGGAAGAAGCAAGAGCCCTGAGGCCATCCTGGTTGGGGAGGGGTATATAAAGGGATTACGCATCCATGGTAAAGAGGAGGTGGCTGGAGCCTGCAAACCGGAATTCTGGAACTGGCATAGAGCATCCATGGAATTGTGGATATAAGTAGGCAGGGACTGGGCCGGGGAGAAGAGACTGGGTGAAGGTAGGAAGAGGTGAGGTCTGTGGGGCAGGAGCAGGCAGAAGCACTGGGGCTGCCTGGGCAGTCCTGTTTGTGAATTTTGAGAAGGAGATAGAAGGGTTGGGGGACTATCAGTTTGGAGGCAGTGGGGGAGAGATCACCAGATGAAGTGATGTTGGTGACCTTGGTTGAAACAATGACCCGATGTTCCATGATGGGGTCAAGGTCCGGGGGAGATAGGAGGAGATATCTGACAGCTGGTGCTCAGCCTCTGCAGTGTAGAGGTCAGTCTGCCAGACTACAACAGCACCACCCTTATCAGTGGGCTTAATTAAAAAGTCAGGGTTGGGTCTGAGAGCACATAATGCAGTCACTTCCCAGGAGGATAGGTTGGAAAGGGTAAGGGGTGGCAGAGAAATTGAGGTGACCAATGTCATGTTGACAGTTCTGAATGAATAGATTGAGTGCAAGCAAAAGGCAGAGAGAGGGGTCCAGATGGAGGGAGAGTGTTGGAGCTGGGTGAAGGGATCTTTGGGATGAGGAGAGGACTCTTGCTCAAAGGAATGGGCAAGGAGGCGAAGGCGATGGATGAAGCGTTCCATGAAGTGTCGTGCCAAAATTCATTAAAGTGGGGACTCAGAGGGATAAAACTGAGACTTTTGCTGAGTACAGAACATTCAGCATTAGGTCAGGAGGGATAGTGAATACATGACAAGACATGGGGTTG